AACAATTGCTGATATTATGAATAATCTTGCTTTATTACTTAAAAAAGAAGGAAAATATACTGAAGCATTAGATTATCTTAAACAAGCATTAAAATTTTCAAAGCATTATTATGGACAAGATCATCCAACTATTGGCATTTATCTTACCAATGTTGGTGATATTTATCGAAAAGTATAAAAAAAAAACAATAATACAAAAAATAGAAAAATATTTTTTTCTTACATCAGAACATTTTTTAGCAATTAGTCCGAGTGCATTAAGAAGTTCAACTTTGGTTGGTGATTCATCATCTGATCGTAAGAGATCAAATGCTTGTGTAAAAACATCTTTCGCTTGTTCATATTGAGCTTTTTTTAATAATAAATATCCTTTAGCTGTAAGTAATTCAATACGTTGTGAACTAGAATTAGATAAAGAATAAGCTTTAGTATATAATTCTAAAGCTTTATCATATTGATTTGTATCTCGTTCGATTTGTGCTTGAAGTATAATAATTTCTTGTAAATTATCTTGATCTTTAATCATTTGTAAACATTCTTTTGCATTATCATAATCATGTTCTGTATGAAATAATTTTGCTAAATCAAATAAAGCATTATCAGTTATATGTGTTTTTCCTTCTTTATATCTTAATAATAAATTTCGTGATTCTTCCAATTTTAATCGATGCTTATTAGCAAGTTTGTCAGGTGAATAAGAACATAAACGTTTATGTTTTAATAAATCACATCTTGCAATTTCTGCAGAACAACCTTGCAATGCATAAGGACATGGAAATTGAAGATTGTCAACAAAACGTTGCACAACAACATTTTTCAATAAACTTTGTTCTGTTAATGTTGTTGATCTACATCGTGGACAATTTTTTGTTGGTTTTTTAAGCCATGATTGAATACATGTATTACAAAATAATTGATGACAACAAGGAGTTTCACGTACATCAGTAAGGTAATCACAACAAATACAACATTCAATCAATCGTTGAATGTCACTTTTTTTTGCCGTCATTACTCTCGTGCCGTAAGAAATACAATAGAAGGCGAAACAACAAGAAAAGTAGAATTATTGAGTATGAGTGCACTTTAATTTTCTTTTCTTTCTGTTTATGTTATTTCTCATTTCTTTTTTTAATATTTCTAATAGAATCTATAAATTTTTAAGAAAGACTTGTATCACGTGGTTTGTTCAAACGACTGCATAATACGTGTCACATTCTTACTCAATGTGTCAAATTAATTGCCAACATTTTCTTTCTATTGATTATCACAAGGCAATTGATAAATAAGCAGAAAAAAAGACGAATGTCAATACATAATATGAAGAAAAAAAAAAAAAAAAAGAAAGGCAATAAGATCATATGATTGAATATATAAATTGTCAAATCTTGTTTTATATCTATTTATAATTAGATTTATGCGTATATATACAAATGACCTATTAAGAATCTTTTACGTCAAATATATATAAAGAAAAAAAAGCTGTAGCATTATAGATGATGATTTCTATAATAAATATGTTCTAAGAATATAATTATAAATGTTGATGATTGTCTATATGATGGTCTTTTTAAAGCCTTCTTAACATATGAAATGAATGCGTGCATTTTTAACAAGCAAAAATTTTTTTTTTTATTCTCTTTTTCAAACAATGTGCACAAGTATGTTAATCTTTTCGATAAAGCTACTGAACATTTTATTTCGTTTATCCCTCATTTTTGTATTTGATGATGATGATGATGATGATGATGAGCCTCCTCCTTTATTTCTATATACATTAAAACGCAACTACTTAACATTTCTATGTTCGTAAAGATTAAAGAAAAATAAATCGTTCAATAGATTTTATTTTACGAATAAAGTAAGTTAGTGATGACATTTATATAGATATTAATAGTAGATATCATGATAAAATATAGATATAATTTCTTTCCTACGTGTGTATTGTATATATCAATTCATAAAGCCTTATATCAACATTATTAACGTTTTATGCATCCAGCATATAATGTTGGATTATAGTTCGTGTGGGTGTTCGTTTTGTCTAAAAAAAAACAATAACTGTATAGTTGATAATTGTATTATTATTGTGTATTGTCATAGTTTAATACGAAATACAGTAGTATGATATAATTTTTTTTTTTTTCGTATTTATAATACTTATCAAAAGGTAAGATAATGTTGAAATCTTGATTATTTACTTCAATATCTTAATTGATATAATAAAAGAAATTTATTTAATAAATAAGAATCAATTGATTATCTTTGATCTCTTGACTGATTTATACGTTTTTATGAGTTTATTCTCTTTTTTTTTTTTTATTTATCAATCTTTCTCTTATTATTATGATCAAGAATTATATATATATAATCGTACTCTTTTTTTTTTCTCATTCATTCTATCAACATTATTGTCAATCTGATTGTAATATCATAATCATAAATGTCTATATGTATGTATGAAGAGTATGCTTATAGTTGCCTTTATAAATTCACTTGCTTTTAGAATTGAGACATATGATCATAAACAATTTTCTTATTGTCATAATTGAAAAGTTCTGAGTATAATAACGATATATCCAGACTACTATTATTATTTATTGTATATGTTAATTAATCTTTCTTCTTGTTTTTTTTTTCTGATGCCATCTTCTTATTACTGTCGAAAAGAAATACATTTATGTATCAATATTTTAATCGAAAACAAACTTGCTTGCGTTGTTTGAGACAGAGAATCGATATTATTGTTTCTTTGCATTCATCCATTTGTATGCTTATTCTAGAGACCATAATACGCAATCAAAATAATATGTGGATAGATATAGAACATTGATAAAGAAA